GATTTCTATACTTTCTAACACTATTTACCATCAATTTTGTATATGTATAAATTTGCAAAACTATTTATGTAACAACAAGACCTGCTTTTTTAATGATTCCTTCGTTACCTCTGTGGCTCTTTACCAGTAGTGAATCTCCTAATCCTCTGTAAAATCGCTTCGGCTTTTCTCACCGTACGATCTGATCCTTGCCTCGCAAGCTTTGTAAATGTCCCGTATTGATTCTCCTCTTCTCCGACCACTTTCAATTGAGAACTGCCTCTGTTTCTTTCACACATGTTGAAGACGATCACCACCGCGTTCTCACCAGTCGTTGAGCAACTCGGTTTCCTCAAGATTCTAAACAGATCATAGATAAACCCTAGATTCTCCATTTCCGCAATAGCCTGGTTGTGTGAAGAAATCAATGCCAAGAGAGCTAGCAAGTCATCCACATTGCATCCTGCTTTGATCTTATTGGTTAGCACCGGAACCAAACCCGCTAAAATCGCCTTTTCCCTGTTCTCCAATACGATACAGATGTTGAAAACAGCGGAAGCAGCCTCCCTGGTTGCTAGGAAATCACCCTCTTCAATAAGAACTACCAGAGCCTTGAGTGCTTCTGATTTTGCGATGATGGTCTTGTTTGAATCGATGACTGAAAGCGACAATAAAGTCGCTGCAGAGTTTCTTCGTGTGTCAGCCGTCCCCTGCTTTAGAGACTTTGTAAGCAGTGGGATCACAAGAGGGTTTTCAGCAATTACTGTTTTATTCTTCTCAAAAGCCGATATGTTGAACAAAGTCGTGACGATATTCTCTTGAAGCTCGGGATTCTCGTCTACCGCATCGCCCAAATCAGAGAGCGGTCTGATTAACCGTGTGATCGAATCAGTGAGTTGAGCAACAAAGAAGACCCGAACATTGGCAAATTTCTTGGTCCGGAGACGTAGCTCTTCTGCAGCTTCTGTCTGATCTGCAACCGAGGAGGGAGAGTAAATCCGCTGAAGCAATGACTCTATGTCATTAGTAAACAGTTCAATGGCTACATCAGTGGATGGTTTTGGCCGATCAAATCTGTTGGCTCGACACCATAGCGTAATCAAATCATCGACCAAATTGTTCGGTGTCCACAGAGAGTGAGAGAGTACTTCTTTGGTTTTGGGACATGTACTATGATGCTTCAACCACTCTGTGATGTATCTTTTTTCATAAGTCTGAAAAAAAGAAAACAACAGAAGCGCAAAATCAGCACAAATTCGTATCTTGAATCCTAAATTTCAAGAAATTCGTATAACACACAATCATCGAACTCCTTTGCAATGTCAACCATAAACTCTGTTTTCGTTTCGATGATACAAGAAATTTGAATGCAAATACATAAAGAAGGTGCATGCATACATACACATACATAGTTCTCATGCGAATAAATCGAAATGTATCACCAAAATCAAGCAAGAATCTCAAGAAATTGTCACAATTATTTGGGGGGGGGGGGGGGAACAACATTTCTGAATCAAAAGGGAAGAAATCAAACCTCCCCAGAAGCAATGATTACAGGTTCGATCATGATTTTATTCGAGAGTGTACATTTAAACTCTTTTGGCACTTCCACCGAAGCCGACGGAGACAGAGAAGACGAAGGGTTAACAGTTTCTGGATTCTTCGATCCTACTTTCCTCAGGCGAGTCAGGACTCTAATAGCCTCATCGATCGCTTTCGAAACTCCAAAACTTCCGTCAGAATCTTTGCTTCCATCTCCGGCTTCGAAAATCTCCGTCAGAAGCTTCTTTAACATCTTCTTCAGAGCATCCGCGGTTTCCGTCGTCGCATCCGCCGTAGAATCCGCCATTTTCAGACGGAGATTCGTCGACGAACACGCGAAATACCCAAAACACGAAGCGAGCAGAAGAAAAACCCTAGAAACTCGAGATTTGGGGAAAAATGAAGAAAGGGAGAAATTTCTGTTAGCAATAGAGAGAAGAAGCGAAGAAACAAATCTATCAGTTGGGTTTTTAATAGTTTGATGAATTTATTCATCTGCTTCCTTTTATTTATTTATTTTGTTTTAATTGCCACCTGTGTAATTAGGCTGCCACGTCATACACTATGCCTTTTTTGGGAATTAAATTACATCCAGATTCTCTCATTGGTTAGGAAAAATCCAGAGTTTTTTTTCGATTATTTATTCTTAATAAAAACAAATTCAATGTATTACGCATGCTATGATCAAATTAAATAAAACTTAACCCATCAAAAACGAACGCTACACACATACCTATATTTCTATTTGTTTATATTATATTACTTACGATGATTAGTGTATGAATTCCCAATAATACTCACCGAAAACCTTACTGTAGAAGAAGCACAGAGAAATTGATAACGTAAGTAGCAAGAAGAAATGAATAAGCCTATAAAAAGAAGAAGTAGAAACCTAGACGTGAATAAGCCTATAAATGTCTTTGATATATATGACGTGAAGATGAAATAATGGAGAATCCACGAACAAATCCATCCCAAATACGAAGGTAAACCTCAATATTTGATCCTTTGTTTTTAGCAAAAAAAAATATATATAT